AGAGGTTGGCCTCTTCAGTCTCTATGACCCCCATTCCTAGGAATTAGTATTTATTTTAAAATGATGCCTCACACACAACAGATATTGTTTGAAAGAGGTTTATTGGATGTAGGTAGAGAGATAGAGAGGAAAAGGAAAGAGAGAGACATGGTTGGGGTTTCCCAGGAAAGAAAGCAAGGTGGAGAGAGCAAGAGAGGTGAGTAAGAGAAAGGCAAAGTGGCCTTTCTCAGGGTGAACTTTTAAGTGCAAAAACTACCTCATACCTCAGTTAGCAAGAGTAATTAGCCATAAGTAGAACTACAGAAGCCAAAAAGCAACGTTAGAACTTTCCCAGAACTATGGACTCTGATGGATTAGGCCTTTGTTCTAGTTTTGACAGACATTGCTGCCAATATGATGGGTTCCAAGGCCCAAATGGTACTCTTATCAGGGCATTAGTTGGGCCAAAGTCTGGGGCCATGTTATTAATAACATGGGTTATTAACAATAAGAAGATATGAATGTCGGAGGAGAATTTCTGTAGGGGTGAGTAGAAAAGGAGCAAGGAATATGATCAAGATTGTATGCATACATGCAACTGTTAAAGAATAAATAAAAATATTATTAAAAAAAAAACCCATGACCAAGTAGGCTTCATCCCTGGCATGCAAGGGTGGTTCAATATATGGAAATCCATCAATGTAATCTACCATATAAACAAACTGAAGGAGAAAAACCACATGGTCATCTCCCCAGATGCTGAAAAAGCATTTGACAAAATCCAATACCCATTCATGTTTAAAGTCTTGGAGAGATCGGGGATACAAGGAACATACCTAAACATAGTAAAGGCAATATACAGCAAGCCTATAGCCAACATCAAACTCAACAGAGAGAAACTTAAAGCAATCCCATTGAAATCAGGGACAAGGCAAGGCTGTCCACTCTCTCCATATCTCTTCAACATAGTACTTGAAGTCCTAGCTAGAGCAATAAGACAAGTAAGGAAGACCAAGAGGATACAAATCGGAAAGGAAGAAGTCAAAGTTTCATTATTCACGGATGATATGATAGTATACCTGAATAACCTCAAAAACTCAACCAGAGAACTCCTTCAGCTGATAAACACCTTCAGCAAAGTGGTGTGATACAAAGTTAACTCAAAAAAATCAGAAGCCCTCCTGTATACCCAAGACAAAAGGGCCGAGAAAGAAATCAGGGAAACGACACCCTTCACAATAGCCACTAATAACATGAAGTACCTTGGCGTGACTCTAACCAAGCAGGTGAAAAACCTGTTTGAAAAAAACTTTAAGTCTCTGAAGAAAGAAATTGAAGAAGACATCAGGAGATGGAAAGATCTCCCGTGCTCATGGATCGGTAGGATTAACATAGTGAAAATTGCCATCCTGCCAAAAGCAATCTACAGATTCAATGCAATTCCCATCAAAATACCAACACAATTCTTTACAGACCTTGAAGGAAAAATTCTCAACTTCATATGGAGAAACAAAAAACCCAGAATTTCCAAAACAATCCTGTACAACAACAGATCATCTGGAGGTATCTCCATCCCTGATCTCAAGCTGTACTACAGAGCAATAGTAATAAAAACTTCATGGCATTAGCATAAGAACAGAAAAGAGGATCAATGGAACCAAATAGAAGACCCAGAAATAAACCCACAGACCTATGAATACTTGATTTTTGACAAAAAAGCCAAAACCATTCAATGGAAAAAAGACAGCATCTTCAACAAATGGTGCTGGTCTAACTGGATGTCTACATGCAGAAAGGTGAAAATAGTTCCATATTTATCACCCTGCACAAAACTAAAATCCAAGTGGATAAAAAAACCTCAATATAAAACCAGATACTCTAAATCGGTTAGAAGAAAAACCTGGAAACAACCCAGATGTTCCTCAGTGGAGGAATGGATAAAGAAATTGTGGTACTTTTACACAATGGAATACTACTCAGCAATTAAAAACAAGGAAATCATGAAATTTGCAGACAAATGGTGGGATCTAGGAAAAAATCATCCTGAGTGAGATATCCCAGGAGCAGAAAGAGACACATGATATATACTCACTTATAAGTGGGTACTAGACCTATAAGATAGGATAAACATACTTAAATATGTACACCTAAAGAAGATAAACAAGAAAGATGATCAATCCTCATCTAGAAAGACAAATGGGATGTACATTGGAAGTAGGAGAAAACAAGTAACAAGACAGTAGCCTACCACAGAAGGCACCTGAAAGATTCTACCTAGCAGTGTATCAAAGCAGATACAAGTCTCGGCAGAGTGTAGGGAATCATATGAAGGAAAGAGGAATTAGTATAACCTAGAGGGGACAGGAAGCCCCACAAGGTCCAAATATATCTGGGCACAGGGGTTTTCTCTGAGATTGTTTATCCAACCAAGGACCATGCATGAATATAACCTACAACCCCTGCTCAGACATAGCCCATGGTAGCTCATTATCCAAGTGGGTTCCCTAGTAAGGGGGACAGAAATTTTTTCTGACATGAACTCAATGTCTGGCTCATTAAGCTTCCCCCCCACCCACTGAGGGAGGAGTAGCCTTGCTAGGCCACAGATAAGGGCACTGCAACCATCCTGAAGATATCTGATAAGCTAGGGCCAGATGGAAGGAGAGGAGGACACCCCTTCTCAGTGGACTCGGAAGGGGGCAGGGAGGAGATGAGGGAGGGAGGGGAGGATTCGGAGGGAAAGAGGGAAAGGGCTACAGCTGGGATACAAGTGAATGTATAAAATTATTTAAAAATAAAAAATATTAAAAAAATAGAAAAAAAAAAAGAAAAACAGAACCAAAAGAAAGAAAGAAAAAAACACCTCTTAGTTCTTTGAAACTTAACAGACCAGCTCCAGAAACCTATAGATCAAGGGATACTTGTGATCTTTTTGGATTCCTTTTATTTTGGGCCCTTTAGTTCTGCATCAATATGATTCAATCCCCCTTTTCCCAAGAAATTCACTTGTACCATTTCATTTGCCTATAGTTTTGTTATTTTTAAAAGTTGAGAACGGTATAGCATGCTGTCTACTCTTGGAAGGCAAATTCTTCTGTCATCTTGTTTCCACATCTCCCCCTTTCATGATCCCTAACCTACCCTGCTATAAATTCTCCTATCATACCTCATAGCCTCCCCAAACTTGACTGCCAAATGCTTACAGGACAAAATGTGTGGTGGTGCATGCCTTTAATACTAGCAGTTACAGGGAGAGGATGGCAGTTCTCTGTGAATTCAAGGCCAGACGGACTACGCACTGCACAGTGAGACTGCCTCAAAAAAAAAAAAAAACAAAAAAAAACGAAAATGCCTTCTGGTTAGACCTCTAGAAGCCATTGGGGCAATACACAACTGCCACAAAGAGAAATCACTACTCATTCCAAAACCCCAAAGAGTGTGTTTGCAATGGATCTAGTCTCCTGAGGGGTGAGGCAGCCTTTCTTCAGGTCTATTGGTTTTTTTTCAGCGAGGTAGGTGAGCAACAACAAGCCTCACAAAAGGGTTACACTGCCCTACCTTCAGAAAACTCTGCTTTCTTCCGTGCTTTGGACGATTAGGGGGAGAATGAAGGGGTGAGGCATGATTCCTAGGAAAGAGAGAAGCACGAGGGCAAGGCTGGCCAGTGGCACACAAGCCAACATCATAGTGAGGATCTGGGCTGGAGAGCACAAGCACAGAACACATCCTCTCAGGGGGCCATGGGGAATTTCAAGCACCAAGTAAGGAGTAAATGATGTCTCGGCAAGGTGTGGAGAAAACTGGTGAGTGTTTTGAAAAATGTAAATAGTAGCTCACTTACCCGTGACAGTCCCTCAGGAATTACAGGCATTCCACATTGTCATGTGTTGTTATTACAGAAGTCATGTTTGGCTTTGGTGCAGGCAGTGAACAGAAGCCTGAGATCTCCTCAGGGCTCAGAGTGCCCACTGGCAGCGCCACAAACCCTGACACACAGGAATGTGTGGAGCCATGAGAAGAGCAGCATTCTGTATGAGATGCAGTAAAAGCAGCGAGTGGTTTTCATCTCATCCCCATCTGTGAGCAATAGAATGTCCTATTTTGTTATTTTGAAGATTTTTTTTTTACCCGAATCTGCCTTCTTCATGGCAACTCATTGTGTTCAAGAAAATAAAAAGAAAATAGTTGTTACTTGCTTAAGAGAAGACAATACCCTTCACTTCACTATATTCTTCACCACCCAACGTCCTAGAACTAAGTAACTTTCACATGGGAAAAACAGTTCCGTTGGCTTCTTTGAAGCGTCATACAACTATTCAGGAAAAATACGGCCTTTGATGAAGCCACTCCCTTTCAGACTCAAGCGTGCTTAAATCAAAGTGTTCTCCAAGGTTCCTTATCTGGGAATGGGCTGTTCCCTCCCCACAACTCTGTGACTGGGAGGGCAAAGCAGTGTAAGAGTAAAAATAACATGTTCTTGAGAACAGGAGAGTAACCTGTTTAAGTAAAAACTTGTGACTTTAAACACAGCTGGGAGGTAAATCGCTCCTGCACATATTTTCAACATCAAATGGCTTAGCTACTTCTCCCCTGATGGAGAATGGGAGAAGCGGGCAGTGGGAAACAGTGGCTGGGAGATCAGTTGTGGGGAGTTCAGTCTTGGAGAGAAAGTTTAGTCAAAAAACATTAGTTGCCTGCTTCAGCTCACGCAGCTGGCTTTTCCTGCACAAAAGCCCTGATTGATGATGACACGATGTCTGTGAAGTGACTTGTTCTAACCCTAGGGCAGACTCTCCTCTGTTCCGTGTCTCTTCTTCCTTACACTTGTGCTGGGCACTTTGAGTACCTGTTTCGATGCCTGTTGGCCAGTCAGTTTGTCTGTCTGTGTATCTCCCTTCCCTCCACACGTTCCCTGAAGGTGAACATGCTCATTTTAGTAGATGCGCCTCATATTTGCTGATGAGGGACGAGCAGGCAGCCCCTTTATCCAGAAATATTTAAAAAAGACACAGGCAAATATATCCATTGTAAGCTTTTTCTTTTTTTCCTTTTTAGAATTTAAGCTTATGAGTATCTACGCCCACTATATTCATAATTACAATTTAATATCTGCATACAAAAGCTATGTAAAAATCCATTTTCCCAAATATACAAATTTTCTTTTTGGATAGTTTAAAACATTTTGATCACAGATTCCAACAAATTTAGGCTGAAAAAAATATTACCAATCTAGCAATAGCAATATCACTTAACACTGTTTTCAAAATACAGATCTTCCATTGACTGTAAACCTCCCTATTCCATTCATACCTTTTTTGTTTTGTTTTTATTTTTTTCTTCTGATTCTCAGGGCATGAAAAAATTATGGAAAAAAGAATGGTCTTCTCTGAAGAGACACAGAGAACTACTTTGGCTATGTGATGTCAAGTGAAAGATGCCAAGGTCACAAGGAACAACCGAAGGGAGGAAGCGGCATAAGGCCACGTTAGTGCACACGCGCCCTGATCATCTCCCGACCAGCAGCCCGGCGCATCACCTCAGCATGCCTACAGCCCTTCCTTTGTTTCATATTGTGCTCGGTTGAGTGTCGTCTGCATCCTCAGAGGAAAGACTCACACATTTGATTGTCTTGTGCATAAGGTGGGTCAGCTTGAGCTGGGCAACAAAAAGCCACAAATAGTGTTTACCTGCACGATAGCTCCTGAAGGCGGCATTAATTAATGTGGAGACACACTAGAAATGTGTACTTTTTTCATTTGCAAACATTTATACAACACAGTAAAAATTCTGTGATAAGGCCAAACCTTTTTTTTTTCTCCCTAGTCTTTTTTTTTTTTTTTTGTATGTATGTTTTTAATGTCTTTTTTAAAAGTAAAATGTTTAAATTGTAAAAAATACACACCGGGCAAATCCTCACCTGGATAATAAATATCTACATCACAGTACAATAAAATTTCTTCTCTATAAAATTTAAATATGATCAGTCTATCACTATCAAAAGAAATACTATGCTAATATTTCCATATTATTAAAATAACAGAAAAATTGTGAGCTTATTTTAGGACCTGATGCCATCGCCATTAGAAAGGGCAAAGAGATTCAATGTCTACCATCTCTCATTTTGAGGAGGGCCTGTGGTTTGGTTACTCACCTAAATTAAGTTCATGAAAAAGGTTTAGCCTTACGAAAAGCTGGCTACATCTCAAAAACTGTTTGACTGATTTCATAATTTATGACTCATGCAGCAAAAGGTCAATATGACATGGATAGGTTTGAGTTCCACAGAATGAAGATGCCTTACTGACAATGACATGCTCTGAAGAGGCCCAGCAGGTCATGAGGCCAGCTTAGGAAGGCTGAGTGTGAGGAGGCCAAGGCTCAGGTGCGAGCCCAGCCCTCCCCAACATTGCACTGGGACGGAGGTGGCACTGGGGCCACAGGCAGGGGATGCGCTGGGCTGTGGCTTCAACACACAAGCGCATCACTGAGGACTGAGGCTCATTGGACTAGAAAAAGCTCAGAGGCGGCACATGGTGTTTTCAGCAGAGTCATAGAGAAGAAAAGGTTCTTTCTTCCAGCTTCTGGAAGTTCTGAACATTGACACTGAAGTGCAAAGTACACTTGAGGGGACAAACACACGTATACACATATGCGCGCACACACACATCTGTTGCATGTGCACAGCCCTCTTGTCCATGAACGTGATTTGTAAGTGAGCATCCCAGCAGGATGGGCACGTTCTCCTTGACTGGAATGTTTCCCCACAGTGGAGCAGTATGAATGTTCTTTCCACCATGTCCACACTTGATTTGAAAGTCTGGACAAGATTAGAAGAAAACTGCTTTTTAAAAAGAAAAAGAAAAAAGTTGGGAGCAAATCCCCCACAATCTAGTTCATAAACTGGAGTTTCCCGAAGGCATGACTTTAGTAATCCTGACCTCCCACCTTTTGTTTCTTCCCACCGGAAGACTGAAGCTGGCATGTCTTGTTCAGTACGGATGCTCAGCCTTCAGCATGCTTTCTAGAGTAGGCCTGCCCCTTGACGTGAGCCTTTCCAGAGTGAGGGTCATGAGGCTGGGGCTGGCTGGAATTTGAAGGCCTGAACTCGTGCCTGATGGTTAATCCATGGAGCTCTGAACAACCCCGGGTCCAACCCTGCACTAATGCTGGAACCCGGGTGCTGATATCCTTCGGAAACATCCTTAGAACCTGGTGCGCAGGCACCTGTAGGCCTGCACAGGACTCACCTGCCTCCCTCTCTCTTTGGAAGGAGAACTGGCCTTACAGCAAGCCTGTTTGTACTGTCAGGACCGAGGTCCTCCAGGAGAGCTGACAGGGGACAGAGGTCTACTGAAGATCACGAGGGAGGAGGCTGCACAGGCTTCCAGAGACAGCAAACCCTTGACTGATGGTTGAACATGAATCTATGGGGCTTCTTGCTTCTATTTTAATTGGGACACCAAGTCTACAGCGGTGTGTCCACAGTGGTATTCTTGTCTCCTTTATCTGGGAAGTCAGGCTAACTGCGTTAGTACACATACCTCCTTCAAGGTTATTTCCACTGGTTCTTGGGCTTTCCTGGCAGTGCCCCTATTCGTCCAAGGCTACTCTGCTTTCTTCTGGATCAAACCCTCATGTTGACTCTGATCCCAGATACACTGCTTAACTTAAACTTAAATGGGCCTTGCTTTTTGTCTGATAAAGCTCCAAATTTGAATATGAAAGGAATCTTTACTCCCCCACCCCCTTTTACTGGGAAGTCATACACTAGAGAAGATAAAAGGGATTTTTGGAGATCAACTTATTCACCAGGTAAGAAAACTGAAACTGTACTGTCCTAAATTGACCAGGCCACAGAGCACAAACTAGAACCTAGGCACCCTGGCGCCCAGTGAGGCCAAAGTGTGCTCCTCCAAGCCCAGTGAAAACAAATGAACTTCCTTGCTTTTCACAGTGACTTCCTTTGTTTTCAGGTGCCTCTCGCTGATATGGCTTGTTTTCCCAGCATTCCAGGCTAAGGCAGTGAAAGGCAGGCAAGGGTTTGTTCACATCCGCGATGTCAGTGAAGAATGGGTACATTCAGTTGCACGGGTACATTCTTTGCCCATTTTCGGGTAAGTTGTCACTTCTCGTTTCTCAGGAACATCTACTCTACACTGTCAGTGGGGGTAGGCTAGGCAGATGGTATCGGCACTTCCTATGCACGGTCTGTGGTGTTTTATGAGTTTTTGCCAGGGCAATGGTGAGCTATGAAAGAGTTGGTGTTCAGAAAGTCAAGCTGTTTAGTGCCACAGACTGTGGGGAGGTGGGGGAGGACGAGGACTGGGACGAGGACTGGGACGAGGACTGGGATGAGGACTGGGAGATGTCTGTGAATAAGTGAAGACCAAGGGAAGCATCCTCCCTCATTGGACATCCTACGCCCATGAGTAGCAGTTTGCCTTTGACTCATATTGCTCCTGCACTGATCTTTTCCAGGGATTCTTCCAAACAAGACTGGAATTTTAACATCTCCCTGATCAGAAGATCCAACCCACAGGGAAACATCAGCAGCCAGCAGACCCAGCCTAAGACCTTTGTGACCGGGGAGGACTGCTTCAGACCATCAAAAAGGGACAGCATTCTGTAAACAGGTTTGAGCTTTGTGGGAATGGCTTGTGAATCTATCTAAGCTGTGAGGTGTCTTCCTGCTCGAGGTAATACCACTTGCACTTTGGAAACTATGCTTGTAAGATTGATGAAGAATTCCAAGCTCCATGGGCATGCTGAGAAAAAGGCTTTCCTGTGGCCTCAAGCCAGTCAAATACCTGCATGTCATCAAGTCACACTAGTGAAACGAAGTAAATCACAAAGTTACAAAAGGCCATGGAAAGGAAAGCTGACTGGTTATCGAATACCCACACATTCCAAGTTACAGTGCTTGGAGAGTAAGGGTCCTGGAAACTGTGAGCTCCTGAGTAGAAACTGTTCTTTCCCCTTACACGCTGAAAGCCACCCTGGCCCGGAGGTGGCCTGGGCCCTGCCAGCTTCACCCTGCAAACATCAGAACTGGATCATGTTGGATCAAGATGACTGTGGTCTTGGTTTTAAGGCTTCTTTAGTCTTCTGCAGTGCCATATGGCTTGCTTGAGTCTGACCAGGGACAGAGGGGAGCTGGTGATGGCTTGGTGCTGGTGAAATAATGAATGTCCCCCACTCAACCTCCACTGCTGTAAACCCTTCAACGCATCACACTAAGGACTGGAGAACAAAATGCAATAGTAACAAAGACCCACATTCAAATGACAATTTCATCCAAGTCTATGCCATTGATGACCTGTTGACCCCCTGATGATCCAACCCGACACAAAGAAACAGAAACAAGAACAGAAAGAGCGAGAGGTGGAATGAAATGACACCCAGTAGCGCTGCAGGAATGACAAGAACCTGTCCACTTAGTCCTCGAATACTTCCAAGAAGAGAGGGGGAAAGAGCTCCGTTGGGCACTCCACCTTCATGTGAAGGAAGCGGCTGGCGTGGCAGGCTCCAATCATCCGAAGGTCTGTCACCTTCATCAGGAGTTTGGGCCAAAAGTGTGTCACATGGTGTTTTCGGTAATTGATATAGTGTTCAAAGGCCAACAGGAAACTGTCTTGGTATTTCTCGATTCTCTCAACACAGGCCAGCCCTGGGCGATCTGAGGGGATGAAGAAGATGGGTATAAATTCAGAGGTGGAAAGAGGGGGCATGTCTGATCTAGCTCCAGATCTGGGACTTCGCTGCTCTTCCTTGGAATGAGTGAGAACACAGCACGGACTGTAGACTATCAGAGAGCAAGGTGGCAGTTGAAATGCATAGCTCTGGTGGGGTGGGGTGCAGTGTTGAGAGGGCTCGCTCAGTTAGCCACAGTGTGAGCTGTAACACCATTCTACCCTGTGCTTCCTGCTATGATGCTCTTCCTTACCACAGCCCTGAAAGCAATGGAGCCAGTGAGCTGTGGACACAGCCCTCTGGAACCACGAGCCATAGTGAATCTTCCAGCCCTCAAGTTGGATTTATGGAGTGTTTTGTCACAGTGATGTAAAAACAAACATATCTTCCATCTCTACCTGTTTCCTTCCCTTACTGACTTATTCCGGAGGAAACTTATTACATGGTAATAAAATCCATTTTTTCATAAAAGATAACTATGGAAACAAATGCCTGGAGAAACACTGAATAATAAAAGTTTCTGCATTAAAGCCAAAGGTTCTTCATGAGGCTTTTGTGCCCTTGAGCACTTTCTTATTAAAGACAGGATAGCAAGAGAGGTTACTACCAACAGACTAGCCCCACACTGACTCTGCTCCTGCTTATTTAGGGCGTACAATCAGAAGAAATTCGAGAAGACATGGCTTCCTCCCTGTGTAAATCAACACTATTTCAACGTGTCTTTGTACTCATAATGACTTAGCTAAGACCTGTCTTCATTCCCTCCAAGAATATCATTCCCACATATGTTCAATTTCTGTTTTAATGGGTCACTTTAGAGAGAGGCAGTACCACAAAGGCAGAGCCTCTAGAGAGGCTCTAATTCTTATTTCTCTGAGGGCGGTCTGTACCCCCAGAGGCACTCAGGGTCCAGTGACCACTGTCTGCAGCTTGGATAGTAGTTGTGCTATGTGAACTTTCTCCACATGGCTGTCAGCCTCAAGAAGTCACTAAGCCCCTTGTGGAATAAGTCTGGTAGTAATAATTTTATGTTATACATGGAATCACATGAGGTAACATTGAGTTCGTTGGATTCTACTGTTTGCAAGCAAGCCACAGGGAAGGGTGTTACACCAGGGTGAAAACAGCAGATATTGGGAAAAGGGAGCCCCTTGGAGTCTGCCCAAAGTCATCAAGAGTTCAGTGTGCCATTCTGTCTATATTTGAAAATTTCACAGAATTATTTTAAATATTATTGTTTTAAAAATATCTGCCATATCTAAATTTTATGTAGGAAGTTAATTTCTAGATCAGCTTAAAAATACTTAGAAAGCCTCTCAAGGTGTCTGTGACCCAGGATTTGTGGCTATGTTTGGCCACATACCCAATCTTGGAGTCTACTGAACACTGTCTAGACACATCTGTGACCTCAAAGTATAACTAGTCCAGAGGAAGATATGGTTAAATTAAGCAGACAGTGACAAAACAAAATGACAAGAACCAAAGAAATAAAAACTTAACATGTTCTGAAATGAACGCGGGCAGCCTGCAGTAATTTTCTGTGTTTCAAAACTAGCTTCCTTTACATAATGCTGTGCACTTTAAATTTATTTATTATGATGTAAATAAAAAGAAGATCATGTCAACTCTCTCATTAAATTTCCACTGTTGGGAGCTAGAGTTCTGACAGGCATTGGTTAAAACGGGCAGGTTGAAGACAGCAGCATGCCCTTCCTGGTCACTGGTGAGTAGACAGTTGAATGGCTTCTGGAGCTGGGACCAGTTGGCCAATAGAATGTGGCTTCAGTGATGCAGTGGGGCTTAAGTCTGGTCAGTGTTTGCCTTCGTGTACTTAAAAACCTCCATCTTGGGACCCAGCAGCTGTGTACTGAGTACTCGCCAGAGGGAAGGCTGCTGGGAATGACTTCTGTGGCTGTGCCCTGTGGCTGAGCTCCAGCTCCGGCTATCATGGATGTCTTAGGCACTCAGTTTAGGGTTGGTGTGCTCTACAGGAAGAGGAAACTAAAACCTCAGCCTGAGTTTCACAGGGCAGCGCTGTCACTCACAACCACACCTAACACACACAAAGCCAGAAGCAGGCAGGGGCAGATAAACTGTGTGACAAAAGGGGATCATTTTATAGGATTTCGGTTGTCTCTGCCCTCCTGAATTGGCCATCATGCCAAGATTTACAGTTCCCTTAGCTAACTTTCACCGTAATACAGTGAGGCAAATATTCTAATTTCAACTTTATTAAGAGATACGCAAACTCAGGCAGCTGGATGATAACCTGCCGGTTGGGGCTTAATTATGTTTTGTGGGTGAGGTTGGGATTTGAAGCTAGCTCTTTCAGAATCCAAGGCCAAGGGAACATACACTTCTGAAATGCCCCAGCTATGACTATTTTCATAAACTGTTTCAGAAAGCATCTGAGCTAGAGGCCAGTGTGGTCTAGGTAGTTTCAGGCCAGCCAGAGCTATACAGCATCTAGATCGCCCTCATTCACTTCCCTGTCAGCTGACCCCTCTAGTTTCTTGCTGAAGGAGAGCCAGCTAACTCTGAAGCCAAAGGAGACAGACAGCCCAGTAAGTGATGTGAGCAAGCTCTTCTCATACCACTGACAGTCTCAGCACGCTCACCTGAAGACATCAGCAGGACGGCCTGAAGCAGGGCAACTTCTGTGTCATCCAGGTTGAAAGATGACAGTGACATGCCCAGGTCAAAGATGGCATCTGACACCACCCCAAGACCCCCATTTTTCAGCTGGCCCCGTGTCACTGCCATTTCCCCATTCAAGGTTAGAGTCTCGCTCTCTGGGTCATAGCGCACAGCGGCTCGAAGGGACATGATCTCCATGCAGCAGCCTTTGAGGAGGATGATCTGATCTTCACACGGCAGCTGAAAAGAAGCAGCCATGTCAGCAAAGAGCCAGAGGGTACGCGCCAGCCAGGGTGTTGGAAAAGCAACCAAACAGCCTCCGTGACTAACCTAGGCCTGTGTTTTCTGAGCCCTCATTCTCCTATTCTCTACCTGGAGGGACTCTTACAGCGCTCTTTTTGTTTGTTTTGAGACGGAGTCTCCCCATGGAGTGCTGGCTGGCTTGGAGCTCACTAGGCAGACTATCCCCCTGCCTCTGGCTTCTGAATGCTGGGACGACTACAGGTATGTAGTACCATTCCCAGAATTCAACTACTTTTTTTAAAAAATGTATATGGGTGTTTTGCCTGCACATGTGTGAGTGCACCACATGAGGTCACTGGGTCCCTAGAACTAGGGGTACAGATGGTTGTAAGCAACCATGTCAGTGCTGAAAACTGCACGTGGATCCTCTGCGGAGAGTAGCCATCTCTCCAACCTCTTCAATCGCTATTTTTAAAACTCCAAGATGGTTAATCTCAGTAGTTTACGTTTCTTTTAGCACAGGTCTCCAGCTGGGGTTACAGCTATGGAGAACCTCCCTTGGTTTGGGAGTTTGTACTGTAGTTCTATGTCAAGGTGGTACTGAGTGGAGTTCATGCCCCATCTTTTTATTGTGTGTAGCTCCCCTGGTCATCTGGCAACCATGCTTTTCAGGAGGTACAAAACTAAAAGGCTGCAGCCAGATGCAAGTGACCAAGGGGGCCCAGAGACATACAAGCTTTGCTATGGTCAACCAGCAAACCAAGGGCAGGGGTGAAGCCAGCATTCTGGATCCCAGCTCCCACGTTTCTGGTGACTCAGATACCAGAGTCAATTGGCAAGTGAGATCTTTCTGTTCAGACTTCAGGGTCACCTTAAGCTCATTTGTTCAATATTTTAATTAGGTTTTATGGCAGTGGGTTAATAAAACTTTACAATAGACTTTTGTGTGGCAAATAGTAAAAACAGAAATTTATTTTCTGGGGTTGGAGAGAAAGTTCAAGAAAAACTCAATGTCAATGTCATTTGAAAGGGGCTGAGTAACTTTTACATCTTGGGGTTCTTGCCAAGATTTATACAGTCATCTTAGGTAAACTCCACAGTAACACAGTAAACATTCAAATTCCAGTTTCATTCAGACATGTAAAAAACAGGCATTCAAAGTGTACCATGCCAGCGTGTACGGCAGGGATGTTTTATAGATGAGGCTGTGATTTGATGCTAGTTTTATCATAATTCAAGGCCAACACATACTTCTCAATACATAGCTATGGTGAAATTGCCATAAATAAATACTATGTCGAAGTCTTCCTTGAAACTGTTGCAGCTTTTTTGTTTTTGAAATTGAAATTCTTTAGTTGCATTAAAAACTAAAGGCAACCAAAGGCAATCCTGCTGAGCTGCTGGCAGACACTGAGCACTTCACACGCCTGTTCGCTACTCAGCCTTCTCAGAGTTCAGCTTTAAAGTGCTTACACTACTCTATGGGGAAAAGGCATCTATCCTGACCATTTTGTTATTCCAGTCATTTCATGATTTGCTTTTGTTTAAATCCTGACTTGTACTACTACTTATATCCTTGGATGCCTGACTCACAGCGGGGCTGCGAGGGGGAGGGCTGAGCTTGGTTACAGGTGGCATGTGAAACAGGATAGAGAGAGCAGAGTAGAACCCATTCCAGCTCCCCCGGGATTCTCTGTGGACCCCTCAGGTGCAGGTTGTAGGTCCTACCCTCAGTGTCTCCTCAGGTCCTGGGTAGTTCTCACATAGGGCCGAGCCCGCCCTTGAGAAGAACCATTCAGCAAGCCTAGAAGTGTTAAGTCACATAATCCCTTTCTTCCCACGGAGTTCTTTTGGTTGTGTTTGTCACAGCAATGGAGAGGAAATCAGAACAGGAACTATTTTTGTTCATCTTCTAAAATGTCCATAAATGTTAATTAAAAAAATGTTAAAGGTCAGAAGGAGGCAAATACATTCTCTGTCTCAGTTCCTATTCTAAGGTACTGTTCTGTCCTGCTGGGTATGGCTTCTATGGACACTAAAAAGTAGGCAAGAAGAAATTTCTCCATCCATTATGTGAGGTCATGTGCATTCCAGCTGGGATGTCCTCACTGCAAACTGTCAGCACAGATGAGCTAAGGCAGCAGATGGTCATCCTAGACAAGGAGAATTGTTCTCTCTGCTGAGGTGGAAGGAGCTCACCAGGGCCTGTGCTGTCTCCACAGGCTAACTCTCTGGGCCTCCTTGAAAGTGTGAGAGCAAATGTCTGGCACCCGATGGAGAAGTTCTCAGAAGATACAATCAGCCCCACTGGGCTTCGAAGGCCAGAGGCAGGATGGAACTGTCATGGTGAAGCTGCGGCTGGGAGATAGTGTAGGGGTGTGCTGTTTGAACCTGAGCTCCATCCCCAGAACCCGGAGTTTTTCACTGCTTAAAGCCAGGTGTGTTGGCACCCACTTGTAATCCCAGGACAGGGGAGGGACAGACAAGCAAGCTGCTGGAGCTGGCTGCCTGGTTAGTCCAGGCTACAGAGGGAAGAAACACAGCTGAAATGTGTGTAGTACTTGTCGCTCAGGCAGGGCAGGATGACACTCTCCATGTGTGGTCCTATCTGGACATCCCAGATGCTCTAAGGGATACCAGTGTTGGCCTCATCTTGATGATGATGTTACTCCAGTCAGAAGACACCAGCACCTGACCAGGATTCTTGCCCTGTTCTCACCTGCTGCAGGAAGAGCTGTAATCGTGAAGCAGGAAGTAAGCAGAGGTAAGGGAGAAAGTGTCTCTGAGGGAAAGCATGGGCTTTATTGGGTAAGTTTTCCAAGGCCCAGAGAGGACAGGGATTGAGCTCTTAGGAAAAAAAGGAAGCTCTCTGCAGACAGTGAGAGTCTTGCTCTGTGAGGGTCATTTGACTTCAATTCTTCTGATTTAAGAATCAAGCACACAGCTATCTCTCTGGGATATTTTGTAGAAGTGTGTAGATATAAGTTCAAACTGTGGTAACCTACTTGATAAGCTAATCTTGTCTCTTACCCATTGATGGCTGAAGAGAAGGCACAACCAGAGAACCAGCCCTTCTGTTCTTTTACGGTGCTGGTGAGAAAGCCTAGGTCATGCGTCCAAGGCAAGTACTCTGCCATTGAGCTGCAGCCCCGGTGAGCATTCTCATTTTTCATGGACTCTGCTTTCCTACCATGAAGCTCTGCTGGCTACTATTACACAGTATCTGCATGCTTGGAAATTCAGGGAACTATAAGGAAGCATGACACAGATGGAAGAGCTATGTCCTCACCTCACAAAACATGGGCAACTTTTTGGCAAAATCCACCACTCTGGTGATTGCTGGTGTGATGATCTTTGTAAAATGGCTGAAGGCTTCCAGGTCAACCTTGCCACCTTCTGGGGCATTCACGATGGGTGCTTGTCCGATGTCTTCTGGCTGAGGAGGAGAAGGGAGAACAGTTTCAGCAGAGCTGAAGAAACCTTGGTTTAGCACAGCCCTCCTTTGGGGCGGGGAGATGGGTTGTCACTTCTGGTTCCCCTGTGTTGACAAAGTAGATAGCTTTCCACATCATGTGTGTCTTTTGAGCAAACATGTATGCCTTGGCCATTGCTTTATTAGGCCTCCAGGGACAATGCTCACAGGATTGTTGAGGGAAAGGAGGAGGGGGAAAGAGAGGGAAAAGAGCAAGAAGGGGAAGGAAGAGGTAGAGGAGGAAGGAGAGGGCTAGGGATATGGCACATGGGTTCATACTTAGGCCTGTGGTGAGAAGCCTAGGCCACTGGTGGGCATACTCAGAGCACTGTGTGTTCTGGGGCATGTTGGGGAAGTGAGCGCAGTGTGGACAGCAATGGAGGCACACATCTGGTGAGCTAACGACAAACTCCCTAGAGTTTGTTCACATTCTTGCTTCTGATGCTGCAGGGAGCTCAAGGCTCCTTCTTCTTGGGCCCTGTGGACTCCAGTCTGAGGTGCTCTCAGCTGAGCACGGAGGGGCCGGCCTCTCAGGCCACTGTAGGGAATTGAGCTGTATAAGCCAGACGAGCCTTAGGGCAGGGTGGGACATCTGCTTATCTTTAATGTCCCCAGAGTTCTTTGCTGTTTACTTACTCAAACAACCCACAGCAGTGATGCTCAGAGTATACAATGAAGTGGCTGTCTCTTGGAGGATGTCCTCAGGCCCTCTCTGGACCTGATTGTTCAGAATCACGGTCTCAGTCTGGCCCCAGGTGACTTGTATATGATAGACTTCCCCACATCCACAAGCCACCTGCCCTCAGTGTGCATTCTGTCACTTCCTCTAGGGTATCTCGTACTGTCCCTGTACTTCTTGTGAGGATAAGCCTCTCTACTGCCATTTTTTTTTTGTCACCATGATATTAATAACCACCGTTTATGTGTGGCTTAACAGCACACTGATGCCAGCCTCCACTTCTCTATCCCATGAGGCTCACAGAAGTTTAGACCTTTGGAAAAGTCCAAGAGCAGACAAGAGAAGCAGATCTTTAACACCTGTCCACTTTATGTTGCCTGGAAACAGATGGTCTCTCCAAGCATCTCCTAGGAGTTATGAATGTCACCAAAGACATCAGAGACTAATGGTTGTGGGATGGCAGGCATCTCTGCCTAAAGCTACAGTGAACAGATTAGAATAAGACCTGGTTTCTCCAAGATAGCCTGTGCTGGGGGTGGGGAGTGGGTGGCAGTGAGTGGAGCAGAATTAACCCTCACCATTTGTTGAACAGTCACAAGGACAATGTCCATTGTTCATGACAAGACTATGTGGCCCCAGTCTTCGCTGTGTTCTAGATTTCCAGGCCTTACCCCTTGCGTGTGGATTCAGAGCCAGGTGGAATTAGAGACTCTGTCTTTCTACAGAGGTTGTGGGATGTGCTGCTGCTGGTAGCCTGGGGCTCCTCTGAGGATGCCAGGTGTCAGTGAGCAAATTAGCTTGGTGTGTTGCAGCAACCATCTTTCCCCCCACATCCTGTCCAGGGTCACATCTCACAGGACAGCAGATAATTCTTACCCTCAAGTTGTCAGTATATAAGGAGCCACAGGAACAGCCAGGCCTGCAAGCCTGGGACAAAAGTCTAAGAATGTGTGTGTTTACAGAAAATGCAGGCAGTCCTGACTTCTTTGAAATTATCCATATGTCCGTCCGTCTGTGTTTTTTTAAATTTCATTTTATTGCTTTAGTGGTAGTGAATGGATGGAGTCTGGGGTTCTGCCATGTTTTCATAATAAATGTGCTATCTAGAGTAAACAATGGCATGGCCTTTCTGCACACAGATGGGATAGATAGAATGATGATGGGTACAATTCCTATCTCACTATCACTCATTGTATGAGCTAAGGGAAAATGCACATCAACCCTATTTTGGGGGCCACTGTTCCCTGCATCGTGAGCATATTCTTGCTGGCTTATATAACTTCTTACCCTGAACAGAAGGCTGCTCTTCTCTCCCTGTCTTCTTCACAACCCTGTTAGGAAGATCAGCTGCTAAAATGAGCATGGCCACATATTAACAAGGCAGGGTATCTGAGTTACAGATGGTTTTGGGCACCATGTGGTGCTGGGGATCGAGTCTAGACCCCTGGAACAGCTGCCATTATAGTAAGGGAAGATGGGTGATAGGCAAGAAAAAGAATTCACTGAAAAACTCCAATTTGTGATAACCCTGTCACTACAGTACAGCTTATCTTGTGAGACATTGTTCACCCCTATAATCTCAGCATCTAGAGTGAAATCTGGCTCATAGTATTTACTTGACATGTGCTGGCAAGGAAATGTATGAACAAGCATACTGTCTTCCTCCCTTCATCCAAAGGCCTAGTAGACAGCAGGCAAAATCACAAAGGCTTAGCATGTTTCCTTTGAGAAATCTATACCTTTGATGAGTGACTATAAAACTATGAAAAATAAGAGTAACAGAAGCAGAGTGGTGAGGGCTTTGACCTGAATAATGGCCAGGAGGCAGCTGTCTGTGGAGTGGAAGAAGGAGGAACATTTAAGGTACAGGGAGAAGCCAGTAGTTGTGTTTGAATGTAAAGTGCTTCTCATGTGTTCACATGCACAAACATTTGCTGGGATGCTGTTTGAGAAAGCTGTGTAACCCTTAGGAAGTGGAGTCTGGAGGAAGTAACCCCCTGGCTAGTAACCCACCAGGTTTCATGACCAAACCCCCACTCCCCGTCCCCTTTCAGCTCCCTGTGTGCTGAAGCCAGGTTCAAGCTGCTCCCTCTTCTACTGCCGTGCCTTCTTGCCCATTGTGCTGGCTAGTTTTGATGTCAACCTAATGCAAGCTGGGAAAGGAGAGAACCTCAAATGAGAAAATGTCTTCATAAGATTTGGCTTTAGGGCATTTTTCTTTTCTTTTCTTTTTTATTAATATTAGTTACAGTTTGTTAACTTTGTATCCCAGCTGTATCCTGCTCCCTCTTTCCCTCCCAATCCCACCCTCCCACCCTCATCTGCTCTCTGCCCCTTTCCAAGTCCACTGATAGGGGAGAACCTCCTCCCCTTTCATCTGATACTGGTTTATCAGGTATCTTCAGGACTGGCTGCAAAGTCCTCATCTGAGGCATAGCAGGGCTGCTCCTCCCTTGGGGGTGGGGGAGGTCAAAGAGCCCGTAGGCCATTTTTCTTAATTAGAGATCAATGTGGGAAAGCCCAGCTCATTGAAGGTGGTGCTATCCCTGGGCTAGAGGTCATGGGTCCTATAAGAAAGCAGGCTGAGCAAGACATGTGGAGCAGGCCAGTAAGCAGCATTCCTCCATGGCCTCTGCATCAGCTCCTGCCCCCAGGATCCTGCCCTGATTTCTCTCAGTGATGGACTGTTACCTGAAAGTATAAGCTGAAACAAACCCTTTCCTCCTTGAAGCTACTTCTTGTCAGGGACTCGGTCAAAACCACAAGAAGAGTAACTAATACACCAGTGCAAAGTTCTGGGGGCAGAGAAGACGCCCAGTGGGTAGAGGCTGACAGAGAAGACACCCAGTGGGTAGAGGCTGACAGAGAAGACAGCCCAGTGGGCAGAGGCTGACACAGAAGCAACATGCTGGGCCCCCTGGACCTCAGAAGGAGAGAAACATCTAAATACAAACCATGTTCACTGAAGGGCTACAAACAGGAAAGAAGCTTGCTGAGGTATGTGGCTGTTGGAATACGAAAGGGATGAACTAGAGAAAGAAGCTGCAGGTGACAGCAGCGGTTCCGGCAGGCTGAGGTGGGCTGGACCATGGGCTTACAGTGAAACAGACAGAAGAGGAGAACCTAGGAAGAGGCACTGGGGGTAGGCTCAGGAACTCAGAGTGGCCTGCCTCCTCTGGGCAGTAGGGACAGAGACATACAGAAATGGGGTTCAGGTGTGGTACCAGTCTCCACTTAGTACTGAGGAGGCCGGAGTTACACAGACCTCTGCCAGCTGGCTTACTGTGCTGATGTTTCCTTAGTATTGTTTGAGGTAAGTGGGAAGTGTGGCCAGCTGGACTTGTTTCAAATGGCTTGCTGAAAGCCAAGGGCGTCTTAGCTTAGACTGGAAGCTCTCTGGCACTGAAAGAGTGGGATTTGGCCAGGTGGAGGAGTCCTTCTCTGTTCAGCAGATGTCTGCACACACCATTGCAAAGCAATGTAGAAGGACCCTGATACACCCAGGGCCTTAGGGCCTGCACTTATACTTCCTGGGACAAATGGGATAAGATCAGGGTGAGAGTGGTAAGGGGTAGAGATGAAGCATGGAGTATGAGATGCCAGGCACTTCTGTGTCCTTTACAGTGACTAGTTTTACACCATTTGAGATGGTCACAAGGCAAATGAACTGTAGGAGGGTTGACATAACTTACTCAAGGTCACACAATTAGGAAGGATTAGACCCAGGCTATCTGTTCCCTCTGCCTGTTTCTGAAGTGGTGATAATTTGGATAATTTGGGGTCATGGATTGTGCCCGGACCTGACCACAGAGACTACATGGACCTATCTGAACTGTCAGTCTGTGCCCCTCTGACACTGTCCCAGTTGAGAATGTGGACATCAGGCAGTGTCTTTGGTGTGGGAGAAATATGGGAAGGTCTGCCCTGACTCCAAAGGTCACATTTCATTCTTATACAGAAAGCCTCTAGCTGCACCATGTCGTGAACCAGCGAGAAGAGTGGAAAGGCATCACCACATGATGATGACAATGCGGGTAGCAGGCTGTAGTGGGCAAGGGTTTTGTGCCAACATCTTCCTGCCACTGAGAGGGTAGAAACAAACCTCCCCCCTCTGCTTTCATAACAGTGGCTTCATTGTTGAAAGCATTTCTGTAACCTCGGAGACGGAAGCAGATTGAAGAAAAGCATGAAAAACCATGATTTAAATGCTTTGGATGTGGTTTGACAGGGTGGCTTTAGGTTCATCATGAAATGACATGGATTTTTCAAAAGCTCCTCATATGCCAAATGTGCTCATTTTCTCTGAAGAAAATACAAATCTCAGAAACAAATGAAACTGCCATCTCTTTTTCTGACTTGGCTGGATTCTGTTCTTAGGGGATGAACAATGAAGTAGCTTCTTTTTGGGACCAGGCACTTATTCCTGATGAAAGGATAGGTGCGGCTTCCACGACAGCATATTCTCAATCCTTCATGGCCACTGTACTATTAAAGTCACAGCTTCTTCACATCCTTGTCCAGGACACAGTGGAATATCAGCATGTAAGAATCAATGAAATTGTATGCAGCGTTCTAAACGCAAAGAGGAGACTCAAAGAGGAGCTGTGTAAGAAACACAAACCCTAAAATGTCCCTTCTGTTTATGGAAAACTTTTGGTACACGGTTACTGTTTTAGTTTGCTTTCTGTTGCTGTGGTGAAATGTTCCTACCAAAAGCAACTTAGGGGATAAAAGGGCTTAAACTTCCTTGTCTCAGCCTCTCATGGAGGGGTGCCAGGGCAAGAACTCAAGCAAGAGCTTTCTTATACAGCCCAGGAACAGCATTCTAGGGAATGGGTTAGCCCACAGTGGACATCCCTTCCTGCATCAATCAACAATGAAGACCGTTCTTTCCAGATACACCCACAGGTCAATCTGATTGAGGTAATTCCTCAGTCGAGGCTTCTCCTCTCGGGTGACTCTAGGCTGTGTTAAGCTGACAGTTAAGGATAACTAGGACAGAACTGTTAGCTGTGCTGTTTTTAAGATTTCTCGACATACTTGAGGAAAAACTTCACTACTTAAAAGAGTGAGACTTTAGAGACTACCACAGAGGGCCTCTGAAATCTCTACCCAGCAGGGTATTAAAGCAGATGCTGAGACTCATAGCCAAACTTTGGGCAGAGTGCAGGGAATTTTATGAAAGAAGTGGGAGACAGAAAGACCTAGAAGGGACAAGAGCTCCACAAGGAGATCAACAGAACCAAAACATCTGGGCCCAGGGGTCTTTTCTGAGACTGATACTCCAACCAAGAACCATGCATGGAGATAACCTAGAACCCCTGCACAGATGTAGCCATGGAAGCTCAGTCTCCAAGTGAGTTCCCTAGTAAGGGAATCAGGAGCTGTCTCTGACATGAACACAGTGGCCTGCTCTTTGATCACCTCCTCTTGAGAGGGGAGCAGCCTTACCAGGCCACAGAGGAAGACAATGCAGCCAGTCCTGATGAAACCTGATAGGCTAGGGTCAGATGGAAGGGGAGGAGGACCTCCACCATCAGTGGACTGGGGAAGGGGCATGGGAGGAGATAACGGAAGGAGGGCAGGATTTGGAGGGGGCGAGGGTAGGGGCTACAGCTGGGATACAAAGTGAATAAATTGTAATAAATAAATAATTATATTAAAAAGAATGTGATCTTCATTCTGAGCACAAATAACCAGAGTACTCCTTTGCAAATATGCAAACTGGCTGTGGTCCAGGGCTTAACTGTACTGTCTGTGAGGATGTAACAGTGGAACCATTACATTCAGCTTCAAAGTTTATTGAGTTATGTTCTAGTTTGCTATTGCTGTGTAACAAATTTCTCTAAAACATAGCAGCTTAAAACAATTTTTAAATTCTCTTTTGGTGTGTCGGGGGTTAGTGGCACAGCTAAGAACCCTTTTAATATTTTTTCTTTCTTTATGGTAGTAGGGATTGAACCCAGGGCCTCACATAAAGTGCTCAACCATTGCATAACGTCTCAGCTTCCTAGGGCTGGGGTTACAAATACAAGCTACCATCCCTAGCCTCTTATGTGATGATGATGATGACGATGATGATGGTGAAGCTATAGCAGTTGTTTTACTCCTTTAAGAGACACAAGTGGGAGATTCCAAGCTTTTTTTTTTATTGCCAGGAGTGGAATCCAGAGCCTTGTGTATCTGGGCAAGGTGTCTGTCACAATGCTGCTGTCCTAGCACCTGTAAAGTTTCTTATGACTAAGAAAAGACTAAGAAGCCACTTAAGCATCTCTTCTGCTAAAAGCCACTTTTTAAAGGTGTCCTTGTGGACTACCTGAAATCAGAATGCAGCACCAGGCCTGGCAGTGGCCCACATGTCTGAGGAGAGGTTGTAGTTAGGCCTGTTGGCATGCTGGACTCTGTTGAGATGGTCCAGATACAGGGTTAGTATTGGCCAGCTGATCCAGAATTAGTGCAATTTAATTTCCAGATAGATACACCAGAGTGGGCCAAAGGTGGAGCAGGACACTGCCCTCTAAAGACCTCTGTTAGTTTGGAGAGGTAGTGAGGCTTCATGGGCGACAGGCAGGAGGAGCCCAGGCACTGGCACTGGTTGTACCTGCTCCCCCAATTTCTAGCACAATATAGCTGTGGGGGTCCCTGCAGGCTCCCCACATCTCTCTCCTGTAAATGGAGGTGTTCTCTGATTCTGCCAATAGGGAGTGAAGAGTGGGGAGGGAAGCATTTAGACTTGAATGTAACATATCATAAGCATTCCTTCAGTGTTTGGTGACTTTTCTACAGGCCATTAACAAAGCACTGGTGACATGTGACAGTATTTGTTTATGGTGAAGATGAGAGGATTTGTTCTAGGGCAGGCAGATAGATTATGCATAGCCATTTCTTTCCAAAACTTTCTTTATGAGTGTTATATGACTTTTGGCTTGGTTTGTCTAACTGTAAAATGGGGATAGCAATTCCAGAAACTTTGGAGCACAAGGAAGTCTAGATGAGAAATGGATGGGAAGAGCTTTACCTAAAACATCCAGGAAGAACAAAGATCTGAAAAGGTCTGCTTTGTCTTTATACTTTCACCACTGCTATGCTCTTATTCCCTGGCTCCTAGACTCAAGCTTTTATTTTCAGATAAACATTTTGGCTTTGGGAGATAAAAATTTAAATCTGAGGTTCAGGTCCTTGCTCCTAGATATTCCGATGAAGGGGGCACACGTGGACATTCCAAGAAAGCTGAGTATAACACTGGGCGTTCCGAGGGCAGAAGGCTGGGAGAAGGGTAAGCCAACAGATAGCAGCCCTGGCCTCAGGAACAGGAAAAGCACCTGAGGCCAGAGGCCTGCGAAGCTGCTCTGTGGTCCAGTGAATGGGCACTGTGCCAGTAGCCTCGGCACCACACGCCCCTCCAACCCCAGCCTGCCTCCCGCTGGCATGACTGCAGAAACCTTACCAGAAATTTCCGCTTCTGCTTCCAGTGGCTGCCCTGGGCATTAGTGGCCACATGGGCCTCGGTGACTGTTTTGATGAGCTCCCACTCCTCATCCGTGGGCTCTGGCTTGTGCCCAATTGATTTCTGCAGCTCCTCCCGCCGCCTTTTCTCACGGTTCTCCTCTATCAGCTTCCGCTTGGCTAGCCTCTTGCTGTCATCCAGCACCACTGAGAGATAGAAGGGTGAGAGGGACCCACGGTAATCCAGAGCTTGGAGCACGCTGTAGGCTCTGAGCCTCGTGTCATGCTGTGCACATTCTCCCTTCCACAGCAAACTACCTCTGATTAACCATTGTCCGGTATGAGCCCAGAGCCAAACTCCCAGTGCCCAGGCCAAGTCTCCAAAATGGAGCTTTGAAGGAATCTGGGCACCAGGAACTCAACTCTGTAGAAGGCAGTAGCTAAAATCAGACTAAAGTAGAGAAGCTTAAAAATCACACTAGCTGGAAAATCAGTTGGGCAGCCAGCTGCATTTACTCCTTGGGTTTTTGTCCTTTCAGTTAGGGAAGTCTTCTGGAGTAGTGATGGGAGGGAAAGGGTTCTTCCTGACTCCTCTAAAGGTAGACTGGGATGTGGCTGTGACTCTCCTGGGCCTCACAGGTAGGCCTTTGCAAGTCTTTGTGTCTGGTCTATCCTCAATGGTAGATAAAGAACCTTGGCTTGGCAGCTAGAGAGACTTGGGTTTGAATCTGGACACTACCAATTTCTAGCTATGTGACTTCTAAGCAAGTTTATTAGGTTCTCTGAGCTTTCATAGTTCTCTTTATGAGATGGGATCAATAATATCCATGCACAATGGCAATAACGCTAAGTATTCAGTAAATATAGTCATGTTTTACCATTTGTGCAAAAGGGAACAAGAAACCTTTCTGTGGTTAGTTTCCAAATGAGATCATTTCACTAGACTTGTAGTAAAATTGAAAGACTCAGATTTCATTTTACTTGATGATGATGATGATGAGTGTGTGTGTGTGTGTGTGTGTGTGTGTGTGTGTGCAGGTGTACATACATACTTGTGAAGGTCAGAGGATAACTGTGGAGTTGGTATTCTCCTTTGGTCATGTAGGTTCTGAATATCAACAAACTTATGTGGTAAGTGCCTCTTCCTGCCATGCCATCTTTTCATCTTGTTATTTTACCTAAAATATGTGTGTGTGTGTGTGTGTGTGTGTACGTGTGTGCATGTGTTTGGTGGTGGGTAGTGAACCTTTGTGTACACGTGAGGAGGCCAGGGAAGTATGCCAGGTGTTTTCTTCAATCCCTCATCCCTGTTTTGAGACAGGGTTGCTCCCGGAACCAGAAGCTTGCAGTTTTGGCTAAGCTCTTGGCCAGTGAGATTCCCAGAATGTATCTGTTTCCACCCTCGACCCTGGAGTTACAGGCACATGTGGCCATGGCCAGCTTTCATGTGTGTGCTGGAGCTTAGAACTCAGGTCTTTTTGCTTTCACAACAAGCACTCCTACCCGTGAGCTATCTGCCCATCCCCAAGGCTTGGGTTTTAGATGACCTCAGACAGTACCTAGTCCATCTTCCTCTCTTCACAGAGGAAGGATCAGAGATCACGACTTCCCTAAAGTCACATCAAGTTCATGGCAGAGACCCAGGAAGACCCAGGACTCCTGCCACCACACCCTACAACTCACGTGTGCCGTGTGAAGAGCAGATGTATAGAAAAAGAGAAGCAAGGTACACAGTTAATTCATAAGCAATCCCAGATTATCTCATGAGGATTGAACCATGTGAGTGGGAAATATGGAGGGTCTTTGTGAGGTAACTTTGGTCTACTTCCTACTTCTACTTCCTCAATGCTGAAGCCCATTGCTCAAAGGCTTCCAGCAGTCCACACTATTGCATTTGACATGCATTAAAGATGGAATCCTGGATGGGCCTGGAGAGGAGGTGGGGTTTCTCAGTCAGGATTCCTGATGTCACATACTTGGAGGTCTGGTAATTGAGCAGAGGCATCCCTTTCTTATTCCATCTTGCTTTTTACTTACTTGTTGAATTTACTTGCTGTGTGTGTGTGTGTGTGTGTGTGTGTGTGTGTGTGTGTGTGTGTGATGTTATACCCCCAGCACCGTCACGGACATCCTGTGAGAGTCATTTTTCTCCTCCCATCATTGGACTGAGTTTACACTGCCAGGCTTGGTGGCAAGTGCCTCTAACTGCTGAATATTTGTCCCTGAGCAGAGGTTTTTCTATTGAGAAACCTGGAGCTTTTGAAATGTCTCACAAGCAAGAAAAAGACCTCAAAAACTTTTTAACTTTAATTTTTATTTATTTATTTTTTGAGGTTTCTCTGTACGATAGAGCCTTGGCTGTCCTGGACTCAGTTTGTAGACCAGGTAACCTTGAACTCACAGAGATCTGCCTGCCTCTGCCTCCCAAGTGCTGGGATCAAAGGCGTGTACCACCATGCCTGGCAACCTCAAAATTTTTATCCAAACTGTTTGAGCATGTTTAACCCTATAACTACTCATATCTTAAACTTAATGAAAGAATGAAATGGCTATTTAAATAACAGTGATTTGGGATAGTGACATGTAAGTATGTGGTTTTGAGCTAATCATATTCACATCCTGGTCAGAAAAGGGCCCAATCCTTTAGAGGTAAAGATGTCCTGGGCCTGAGGCATAGATGGATAGTATTTCCAGCCAGATACCTTAACAGATCTCTTTAAACTCTCCATAACATTTTCCTCTATGAGGAAATTATGGATATAAAAAATTCTCTCAGGGAGAACATTATTTACGGTTCTAATATAAACTAGGATTATTTCTTCTTATATCAGGAAAATTCCCATTGCCTTTGTTTTTCTTTCCCGTGCTTTCCTTTTTCCTTTAAAACTCATGATTGAAATGTCTGATGTACAATCATGAGGCTGTGGAAGTCATCCTTACTGATTTCAGGCAGAGGGGAGGTTGCATATTCTGAATGAGATGGTTCTTTTTTAAAAATTTTTATTAATTACAGTTTATTCACTTTGTATCTCATCTGTAGCTCCCTCCCTTCTTCCCTCACAACCCCACGCTCCCTACCTCTTCTCCACCCATGCCCCTCCCCCAGTCCACTGATAGGGGAGATCTTCCTCTCAGTCCTTCTGATCATAGTCTATCAGGTCTCATCAGGAGCGGCTGCATTGTCTTCCTCTGTGGCCTGGTAAGGCTGCTTCCCCCTCAGGGGGAGGTGATCAAAGAGCAGGCCAATCAGTTCATGCCAGAGACAGTCTCTGTGATTGTTCTTTTTATGATTAATTAAGGTGACTGGTATAAGTCCCTGGTTCAGGGTTGGAAGGAGAGACACCAGGACTAATCTCACTGACATATGCTATGGCCCTTAGAAAACTGGGTAGTATCGTTTTAGTTAATTTTTTGGGGGGCTAAAAATACAACAAGCTATCAACAGTGCAATGATTCATGTGGGAACATTCAACTTCGAATTCTTCAAAAATTCTTGAACATGATGTTTTCTGCTAGGACTACATCTCTAAAACTGTTTACCAAATTAATTTATTTCTGGTTTTGAAAACCCAAGGCCTGGTCTATAAGCTTCTCAGCACGTGGAGCCGGTGTGTGAGATGTGTCCATGCCACACAGATGAGCCTTCTCATTTGCATTATAGCACGAATCAGGCTTGCGAATAGGCTCCCTTTCAGACACACACAGGGATGGTGTAACTACTCCTCCTCACATCATCTGGATGCTTTGGAAGTTGGGAACTGATTAGTCAGGAAGAAGAAAGCCAGTGGGTCCTTCTTCCCCTATGGCAAGGTTGGATGCGGGGAGGGAGAGGTGTGTGAGAGAAACAGACTCTGTCAGCAAAGGTTCCTGCTTTTTTTGTTGATCTTGAACCAAACCCTTCTCCCAGTCAACATTTTGCAATATCAAGCAAATGAAGAGCATCTACTTACAGTCTGTTGCCATGCCAACATAGATGCATTTCTTAAAGCGACATTCCTGGCACTGGTTGCGAGTGACTTTGTCTATGATGCATTTTCCTTCATATTTACAGGAATAAGATGGATGGAGACTTTTCTGAATGGTTCTTCTAAAGAAACCCTAAATGAGAAAGACCCAAAACAATAGGTTCATATTTTCTGAAACTAAATGAGTCTGGAGTTTGTGTCTACCAAAGAATATGAGAAAACTGTTCTGCTGTTAGCCTGGGAAGTGGCTTCCACCTTTATACCCTCAAATAGAGGATGGTGGAGCCAAGTGAATCCAAGGAGCTGAGGGAGGATTCACAGGGCTGCAGCGTCTACACTATTGTGGCATTTACTCAGGGAAATGAAGCTAATGGGCAATCTGGTGTTTGCCTTTATTTTTCTATACGTTAAATGGTATAACCTTTATTTCATATGGTGTCAAAACTATGCTGCCAAGTCAATGAAGAGTTTTACTACTTTATCCTAAAATAGAAGAGAAGGATACTTGATTGAAAGTTTTCTTATTTAAAGGATAAGATACACTTGTAGGAATATTTCTTTAAGAAACCTATTACTATGTACATGAATATATATATGTATATATATATACATACATACATATACATATCAAGAACATCTTAAATGGTTTGATGACTAAATATGTCTTTATTGATTTCATTTAGAGATTTCATTTAATTCTTATTTGACTCGTATGATGGCTATGCTCTTTACCAAAAGCATGTTCCATCCTGACACAAGAATACTTGCTCAACTATGTTCATTGTGGCTTTATTCATAATACATAGAACTGGAATCAATCTAGAAGAATGGATAAAGAAAATATGGTACATTTACACAACAGAGTATTACTCAGCAGTTAAAAAATATGATATGAAATTTGCAGGCAAATGGAAGGAACTAGAAAATAATCATCCTGATCATCCTGAGTGAGGTAACCCTGACTCAGAAAAATAAATATGGCATGAACTCACTTATAAGTGGATATTAGCTGTTAAATAATGGATAATAATGCTACAACCCACAGACCCAGAGAGGTTAGGTAAAAAGGAGAGTTCTAAGGAGGTTGCATAGAGCTCCCTGGGAAGAGAAAATAGAATAGATTTTGCTGGTGGATTGGGCGTGGATGGGGACAGAAGAGGGAGGGATTAGGTGAGGCTGGGGAGAGATGGAGGCAAAGAATGCAAGGAGAGACAGCTGGAATCGGGGCACGTGGGGGAGTGATGTGGACACCTAGTGCTGTAGAAACATCCTGGAATCTGAGGATGACTCTAGTGAGAATTCCTAGTCATGGAGAATTCGGATCCAAATTGGCCTTCCTTTGTAGCCAGGCACAGCTTCCAGTGGCAGAATTGGGTTGTATTCCGTTGGGCTGCTGGCTGAGGGGGTCCTGTCAGGATCCCTAAAGAACCCTAAAGATTTTCATTCTCTGAAAACTCAGCAGGGGTGGAATTTGGGCATGGTTGGGGACAACATCTGCACAGCTCACTGAATGTAGAGAGGTCGAGCTGGTGCTGGCACAGAGCCTACATCACTATATTCTAGTTTCTTTGGCATGAAAAGTACTCTTCGAGCTACAGAAAGACAAATCTGGACACCAACCCAGCCATAAACCCCCCCCCCCCCAACTACAATCTGTCCTGTCTGCAAGATGTGCTGGGGACATGGTGGCACAGAACTTTTGGGAGTGGCCAACCAATGTTTGGTTTACCTTGAGGCCCACTCCATGCCCTACACTACCTGAATGGCCAGGAGGCGGAGAATGGATAACCCAGAGCCCTAAGGTAAACGTGACTGGAAAATAAACCAATGAAATGATTCCTAATGACACTCTGCTGTACCTACAGATTGGCTGCTTGTCCAGGTGTCACCAGAGAGGCTTTCTCTGGCAGCAGATGGGAGCAAATACAGTGACCTACAGCCAGACATTATGCAGAGACAGAGAGAGAGAGAGAGAGAGAGAGAGAGAGAGAGAGAGAGAGTAAATTGGAGGTTTCCACTGGGTCTCTCCCTTAGGAAATCAAGGAACCCCGTGGAACAGGAGGAGGAGTTAGAGGAGTTAGAAGAGGTGGAGAATACCAGAATTTAGTCAATATCCAAATTGACTAAGCAGGGCTCATATGGGCTCACAGAGACTGAAGCGGCAAGCACAGAGCCTGCATGGGTCTGCACCAGGTCTTTGTGTTGTGGCTGCTAAGCTGGTGTTTTTGTGGGACTCCTAACTGTGGGAACGGATGCATCTATGGCTCTTTGCCTGCTCTGGAGACTTTTTTTTTTGTCCTTTTGGGTTGTCTTGTCCAGCCTCAATATGAGGTCTTTTGGTTTGTCTTGTTGAATCTTGTTTTACCTTTTGGTGGTCCTCTTTTGGAAGCATGCTCTTCTCTAGAAAGGAAACTGTGGGAAGGGAATCTGAGGGAGAGGGAAGGTATGGGAGAGCTCGCAGGAGCAGAGGAAAGGGAAATGTGGTGGGAGTGAGATATATTTTATTAGAGAAGTATATTTTCAAAAAGTTGAAGAAGAAGAAGAAGAAGAAGAAGAAGAAGAAGAAGAAGAAGAAGAAAGAATATAGAAGAAAAAAGATGGTCACAACCAACTCCCTCAACCTTTGAAACAGTAAGACTTGAAGAACAGAAAATCGAGTTTGGGACTTTTATTTGTAAAACCTTCTTTTCCTTCGGTATCTTAGCATGAGTTCAACAGGCGTCCTCTTTTCTGAAGACCATTATTTGATTCTAGATTTGACTGATTTACCTAACTTTCTCAAGACTATTTATTTATTTTGATACAGGGTCTTGCTATGTAGCCGAGGCTGGCCTGTAATGGAACTTTCTATATAATCTAGGCTGGATTTGTCTCAACCTCTCAGGTTCTAGGATTTAGGAATTTACACCAGGCCTTAAAGGTATTGTACTAGGAGAATGGACGCCACGCCGCCCGTGTCCCCCATCAACATGGAAGACCAGGAGCGCATCAAAGTGGAGCGAAAGCGGCTGCGGAACAGGCTGGCGGCCACCAAGTGCCGGAAGCGGAAGCTGGAGCGCATCGCGCGCCTGGAGGACAAGGTGAAGATGCTCAAGGCCGAGAACGCGGGGCTGTCGAGTACGGCCCGGCGTCCTGCGGGAGCAAGTGGCCCAGCTCAAGCAGAAGGTCATGACCCACGTCAGCAACGGCTGCCAGCTGCTGCTGGGGGTCAAGGGACACGCCTTCTGAGCGCGCCCCTCACACGGACACCCCGGCCTGGGAGGCTGGGCGCCCGCCCCCGCCGGGTGAGGGGGCAGGCCGCGGGCCCTCCCCGGAGGCCTGGGGCGCTGCGCGCACACATTGGACTCCAGCCCGCCCGCGCCCGGCCCTTTCACCTCGACGTTTACATGGCTCCCTTCCGGCGTATTTTGTATGGTTTTTTTTTTTTCTGGAGTGAGACTGAATTCATATTGAATATAATATATTTGTGTATTTAACAGAGAGGGGAGAAGGGGGCTATCGCGGCGGAGCTGGCCCCGCCGCCTGGTACTCAGCCTGCCGGGACACTGGGGAGGGACCTCCGCCCCCTGCCCTCCCCCTCTGCACAGTACTGTGGAGAAGAAACACGCACTTCGTGTCTAGAGTCTATTTTAAGATGTGTTTGTGTGTGTGTGTTTGACTTTTTATTGAATCTATTTAAGTAAAAAAAAAAAAAAAATTGTCTTTATTAAAAAAAAAAAAAAAAAAAGGTATTGTACTAGAACCTTTGTGGACATGATTCCTGGCCACTGTAGTCTGAATGACAGGAACTAACAAAGGCAGTGGGTGCTGACTGTGAGGGGCACGGACAGTTCTACAGATGCATTTGGCACCCTCTGCCCACAGTTTTACTAGGAAGGTATTATTTAGTGTCACTGTTATAAGGATTACAAAGCTATGCCTCAATGGGTTCAATCAGTGCCCCAGATAACAACCCAGTAGTACTCCATATTTTTTTCTCCTGAAACAGGGTATTGCTATGTGATCAGAGCTTGCTTGGAAGCTCTGGATCCAAAAAGTCCTGGATGTCCTTGAAGTTGTAACCCTTCTGATACAGTCCCTCAGATGCTGGGATTTCAGATTCCAAATATGTGCCACAATATGCGTTCACACTCCACGTCTTATTTCCTAACTGTTCACCTGATATAGATGGTTATGCTATATTATTTATATAAGCAGATATTATAAAAAGTTTTTTCTCACTTATCCTCAAAACTTTCATTGACTCTAATGCACACCTTTTAAAAGAGGTCTTTGCTTACACTCAGAGGGGCCTCTCACTCTTTTAGAGAAATACCAGCTGCTCTAGAGGTTGTCTGCTTTTGTCACATCATTTAATTTTTTTGGCTTGGACAAAAAAAGAGAGCCCAGGGTTGTGGACACATGTCTACCTGCATAGCCTTCACTCAGACAAAGCTCTGTGGTTTTAAGGAATATGATTTGCTTTTCAAAATCACATTCTAACAGACAAACTCACTGCATCCGGGGTTTGTGTTCTTAAACGTGTACATGCCTCTGAGTGACATGTTGCTATAGGGCCAGGAACCACACACAAGCAGCTGTCTGAGACATCAGCCATGTTTTCCTAGGTGCAGAATCTGCCCAGAGGGCCATGTCACAGCATGACTCTAGAACAAAATGCAAGTTTCCATGTGGCTTTCCCAGAAGGCAGAGGGGACAAAAGAAACCCAGCCATTTCTTACAAGATGGATAGTATACACTGGGAAAGGGGCAGGATAGCACCCCATTCTGGAGGAAGCCATGTTTACCTAGAGTCCAACCAAGGAGGGTGCGGGCCACTGCTGAGGAGGAATGCTGATAGACCCTTTTCAGCCTCACACTGGATGCCCAGGGAGACCACAGCAGGCCAGGGTAAGCACGTCGTACTCGACTGAGGGAAGGTCATGTGTGTATGCTGTGTGCCCTTGAATGGAATGAGAGAACTTACGCTTCTCAAGAAGACAATTGCAGTGGCTTGCTGCACTGCTTCCTGCACCACCTCCTTTGAGCCTGCCTCTGGTGACTTTGTAGACCAAATCCCTTTTCTAATCTATGGCCAAGCCTCTTTGACACATGGCGTGACATTTAGGTAAGTGTAAGGATGACAGGTCTCTTAATCTTAGAAAGTGGTGAAAATTAGCTCCTGGAGATAAAGATAAGACATTTACTCAAAGAATCGTTTTAGGGTTAAGGGGTGCAGCCCAGTGGCATGTATATGCTGAACATTCATGAAGTTCTGAGTTCAATCCCCAGCAGCAACACCAACACCCCATCAGGTCTTGTGAGCTGACAAATGAGACTTCTTGGAATAAATAAGGACATGTTTCATTGACTTGTACTCGAACAGGGAACTCGCCCTTATAACCTACAGCAGACATGCTTCTGTCCTCAGGGAAGAGCCAGATTTACTTCTTAATGGTCTCACGTGATTGACCAGCCAGATATAAGGGCCTCTATGCAGCCAGATGTGGTGACACATGATTCTAATCCCAACACTCCGGGCAGATCTCTGAGTTTGAGGCCAGCCATGGTGTACATAGTGAGTTCCAGAATAGCCAAGGTTATACAGACAAACCCTCTTTCAAAACAACAACACCACACACACAAACACTCACACACAGAGACACACAAAGGACTTTTATGTTACTATCCATCCTACTTAGCTGTCATTTAGCTTTATCATCTTGCCATCGAGTCAACTAGAGGAGTCACAATTGTGTTATTGCCCAGATAATTTTGCCCTGTGAGTGTGTCTGTGAGGGACTGTCTTGCTTTAATTGATATAGTTGGGCTTAGCTCACTGTAGGTGGAACTGCTCTCTGGCTAGGTGGTCCTGGGTTGTGTAAGAAAGCTAGCTAAGGATGCCCAAGCCAGCAAATAGCCTTCCTTCATGCTTCTGCTTCAAGTAGAAGCCTGCCCGGACTCCTTCAACAGTCCTTTCATGCTCTGTGACCTGCAAGCATAAGCCAAATCTTTTTCTCCCACAAGTTTGTTAGTTTTATCACAGCAAAAAGCATGAAACTAGAGTATTATTTCAGTTCAGTATTTAGAGGAAATATTGTTACATTTTGGGCCTTTCTTTGAAAACAGTTTGTTGTAGGCCAACACCAACCTTCTTGCTACAAAAAGCGAAGTGTGCAACAAGTTACATATCACAGCAGAGTTAAAAACGTCACAGTCTTTCTGCTGCTGGGACAGTACAGATTCTGTCTGTATTATTCACTGTTGGTGGGAACAAACTGTGAGGTGCGGCCTTTTTTTATCTCTTGACACTCTTGAAAATGATGTTACATTTGAAAACCTCTTTCTCCATTTTCCAAGTTGCTTCTTTATCACATTAGGGACACTTTTGGTCTCTGGGTTCCTCTCTGGGTCTATGGTGGAGGTAACCTACAAACAGGATCTGATCTGACACAGGCATAGAGGCACCGAGCTATGCTATTTGATGCTTCCAGTTAGCTTTCCAAAAGATTTATTTTAAACTGTGTGTGCATGCCTGTGCATATGTGTGTGTGTGTGTGTATGCCTGGGTGTTCACGTGTGCTTGTGTTTAACCCACGTGGGCAGGTGCCCTCAGAGGTCAGGAGAAGACTTTGAAGCAGCTGGAGCTATAGGCAGTTGTGAACTGCTGGAGGTCGGTCGTGGAAACTCAGGTTCCCTGGTGGAGCAGGAATTCCTCTTAATCATCTAGCCATCTCTTTAGCTCCTATAGATATGATATTTCTTTTAAGAAAATCTCAGCTGGGTCAGGTCCCTCAATACCTACTAGTCTTGGGAGAGGCTGGTTGACTTTAGTGAGGCAGGGTAAGGGGTAAAAAGGCTCGAGTCTCCCTCCATTAGGGAAGTTGCTGGAAATGTGTTCTATCATAGACACAGTCTTTAGAATCACTTTGGGGACTTAGGAGTTACACTAACTTTTCATTATATTTTCTCTCAATTCAAATTTTATGATACTGTTGTGAAAGAATGCTTTTACAACAGTACAGACACACAATATTGTAATGTTTCTTAAGTAGCTGGAATTACAGGCCTGAAGCACCAGGCCTTGCTAGGCTTATTCCTTTCAAATGAAACAATAAAAGCCTGCCTCAGGAGCTGGTCCAAAAATCTCCTGATTAATAGACAGCTAAGACTTGCAACTAACTTTTTAACCTTATTTTCAAAGAAGGAACACAACTTTTAGCTCAGTTTTGTCATGTTAAAATTCCGTATCAAAAGAATCTTGGAGAAGGGGAGTCTCTGGCTTCACACACATTCCAGCTGAAGGTGAGGCTGAAGAGGCTCCAGGAGCTCGGAAAGGACCCTGCAGGCTGCCCTGTAGAGATGCGGCAGTGCCCCCCAGCTGTGCAGGAGGCAGGGACTCGCATGGAAAGTCTCCCACCAGGGAAGTGGTGTGACTTGAAACAACTGTGGGTCTTAAAGGTGAGGGCAGGAAGAAAGCCAGGGAGGGTGGGAGGAAGAGCAGGAAAAAGAAGGGAAGAGGAAGTTTTGTTTTGCTTTTTTAAATTAATTCAAGTTTTACTGTAAACTTTACAGGAAATAAAAAGTCCGTTTCTAGTTTCTAATAATCCCCATCTACACAGTGTCAGCTGCAAGGTACCACAGTGGGCTGAGCTTCCCGTGTTTATTTTCTAACCCAGGTTGATGGACCAAAAGATCCATAATGCTTATCTTCATTTTGATGATTAAGACTGTAAGCAGACAGATGTGAACAAACCAGTTTGTTTTTGTCAAGAATCTCCTGGCAGAGACCTCAGATGGCTCAGTTGGGAAGGCACCAGATTGAATCTGGAGGTCCATGGTTTAAATCTAAGGTTCTTCTTCTTCTTTGGGATGGAGAGATGGCTCAGTGGTTAAGAGCACTGACTGCTCTTAACTCCAAAGGTCCTGAGTTCAATTCCCAGCAACCACAACCATCTATAACGAGATCCTGTGCCCTCTTCTGGCATGCAGGCAGAATACTGTATACATAAATAAATCTAAAAAAAAAAAAAAAATCTCCTGTTTTGTGGAGCACAAAATTACCTGATGGCAATCTGACTTCATTTATTACAGGCTCTGCAGAAAGCCACTTTGAATAAATGCTGGAACATAATTGAGTTTAGTTGCTTCAAAGATTCTGCCTAATGGAACCCTAAGAAGGGGGTATACTCATGTAGACTCACAGCAGAAACAGCCGTGCGGCAAGCTCCATCTCCTCAGACATTGCACAGAAAATGGGAGGAGAAACAGTGAAGCATCGGACTGACTGTATATTAAAAAAAAAATGCTTTAAAGCTCAAAGTAATGCTATTAATTTATTTTTGTTAGCTGTCCTTTTGTTTTAAAAACACAAGAAATCAAACACCACGCTATTGCAAAATTTCATTTAGTTATTCATGATTTAGGAAAAAAGATTTAGATCTTGAGCACATCAGAAATAAAGAGGACCACTGGACCTCTGGATGGCCAGAGGCCGTGAATGTTGGAATTTGTCTTTTGATAGTGATTTCTAGTGGCTCTCCGGGAGGGGCCTGGTGCTGCGTTAGGGCCTGTGCTAGGGACCTTGGCACTTACCTTGCAGCCTTCACAGGTGATGCAGCGGTAGTGGTACCCTGTGGCCTTGTCCCCACACACTACACAGAGCTCATCCTTGTCTAAATAGCTGGGGATGTACCCTGCAAAGGACAAAAAGGAAGGTGAAGAGACAGCATCACGCACAAGCAGAGACCTCAGAAGCTAAGGTTGCCCGACCAGATTGATTTGCTCAGAGGTGGTAACCACAGGAAATGCTCAATAGAGCCTAACAGCACCCAGCCTAACAACAGCCTGTCTTAAACACAGGGGCTGGGATGGAGGCGGGACCCTGCCTGCTGTGGGGCATCCTGTAAGCAGAGTGTGGGAGTCCTTGAGTCATGATGAGAGGCAGAGATTTGAGGCCACAGCTGCACGGGTATGGAACACTCTCCTTTACAAAGCTTATTTCACAGCTTGCCCTAAGACCCTGTCCTTTCTCAAGTCAAGAGAGCAGGCAATGAAGAAACCTTGTTTGCTACACTAGTCAAGTACTTCCCAGGCCAAAACAATAGCTTTAAGGGCTCGAGTGAGCCTCCCTTACGCTCTCACTAGGAACAAAGAACAGAGACTGAAATCCAGCACTCTAACACCTGGTGGCAGGAATGATTTGTGCTACTTCCCCCTAAAAACAGAGAGCTTGAGAGGAATGCACAAGTGCATCTGAAACAGGTTGGCAAATAGATACACAGCCTAACACTGCTGGGTGGAATGAAAGGTTCATTTTGAAGGAAAGAAAACCTAACCAAAGTCACCCCCTTTGGTACTGTGTTGGTGGATCAAACTCTCTGGGCTCAGAAGGCTCAGGCTAAAAACCCCCAGAAGCAGCCTTCTTCCTGCCCCTGCTTGTTTCTTCCTGTTCATGTGGAGGCCATGACCACACACCCACACATGTGCCAAAGACACAGGAGCTTTTAGATAAGCTCAACACTGTAAAAAAAAAAATCCTGGTCTGCTGGTTTGTGAGGTAGAAAGGCAGAGGAAATGAAACTCTTGCCCCTCAGTGTCCAAGAGGGTTCCCCCAAAATAGGAACAAAGACTGTCTCTGACATGAACTCATGGGCTGGCTCTTTGATCACCTCCCCTGAGGGGATGTCCACAGTGGAAGACAAAGAACCAGTTCTGATAAGACCTGATAGACTAGGGTCAGATGGAAGGGGAGGAGGACCTCCCCTATCAGTGGACTGGGTGAGGGGCATAGGAGAAGAGAGGAAGGGAGGGTGGGATTGGAAAGGGCCGGGGGAGGGGGTACAGCTGGAATACAAAGTTAATAAACTGTAATTAATAAAAATAAAAATTTAAAAAAAGAAATGAAACTCTCCTGGTCATGGTGCTTAGGAAGGTCTTGGCTTCAGGGAACCTTTCTTAGTTTCAACCAAGATCACAGATGGTAACTTACTGTATATTTCCACTGACCTTTTGTGACAGCAGGTCACCTAAAGCTCACTTTTTAAAGCAGAAAAGGTGTGCGCGCGTGCACACCCACCCACCCACCCACCCCAGATGAATCCTTTCTTTATTCTTTAGGGATGGATGGCTTGCTTACGTTTTTAACCTGGGAAGACTGGAGTGCTTCCAATGTAGATGGAGGGCTTGAGCTCAGGTGAGCTGCTGGGCTTTTCTTAGTTTCCTTTGCCTGTAGCAAATGATGACTCAGCTGTTGGACTCAAAGTTTCCGAAACTCTTACCAAGCATTTTATTATTAGTAGTTTTTTAAAAAAACTTTTCATGTTTATAAAAGAGTAGAAAAAACGTTAATTTTATGTGTCTGTGTCTGTGGGGTTATCACGTGCACATGTATGTTGGGGCCTGTGCAGGCTCCCCTGGACCTGGATATAGGAGCAACTGTGCTGCCCACAGTGGGTGCTGGAAACCAGACCAGTGTTCTTGGTTCTGAGCCATTTCTCCAGCCCCTCAATAGGCATTTAAAAAAATAATTCTGGAAAAGACCTGGAGCAGGGATAAAAGGAAGGAAGGGAATGATTTGTCTTTAGTCACTCCTTTATTGATGATGTTAGCCAGAACTTATTTAGCATAAACTGTATGCTAAGCACCATGACAAACAGACTAAATAGAAACACAAACAAAATGGAGTTCCAAGATTGGCGGTGGCCATTGTGTGCCATATCTAAGGGGCAGAGGATCAGAGACTGAAACCAGTGAGTAAACAGGTGGCTGGATCCAAAACACCAACTTTGGTGCTTCCCAGAAAAGAGGGGACATCAGGGAGTTGGAAACAATTGGACCCAGGACCTGTTGGCCATCTCCTTGGTCCTGGAGTCAAGAAACGCGAGCCCTTTGCCCTTTTTGCATACTCAAGGGAGTGCAGGCCCCAGGTCCAGGAAACCTCGGCTCCAGCAGCCAGTCACTGGATCCCTCCTGCTCTCCTGAGAACAGTGTCTGTCCTGAGACAGCATCTCAACCTCCAAACCATGGTTCTTCTGGTCCCCCTGTGGATACCAGGTAGACAATAAAATCATATGGATCCTGGGTCCAAGATGGTGGAGCCAGGGACTCAGAAGAATCTGAGTCCCATGAGCACAGTGTCTGATAGGCCTGTGAGCCACAGCTCAGCTGCCTTCTGAGGTACCAGGTCCCTGCAATTGCCACATGAGGCAGACTCCCCCCACCCTGCAGCGTCCACCTGAGATGTTGCACCCTGACCTTCAAGGCACCCTCACCAGCTCCCCTGCCATTCAGGGCACCTGCACCAGTGTCCCGTGTCCTTTGGGCACCTGTACCTATGCCCTGGTTTTCCAAAACACCCACCCCAGCATGGCTGCTTCTGAAATGCCAGCACCCATTTTTGTCCACTGGACCTTTCTCCTTATCCTGAAGACTACTCCAGACACCAGAGTCTATGGATCCAGTCGTAGGTGTAGGTTCAAGAAACAAACAGCTAAGGCTATGGGCAGCCAGATGGCCAAAGGCCAGTGTAAGAACACAATCAACAAAACCCAGAACATCAGGGCTTCACCAGAAGCCCCCAACAACAAATATTCCCATGCAGCTGAAACACAGGTAAATGACCTTAAATCTATGGTTATGCAGTTATTAGAAGAATATAAACAGGAAACAAACAAATCTCTCAAAGAAATAAAGGAAAATACAACCAAACAAATAAAGGTCATCAGGGACAGACAGGAAACCACAGTCAAACAGATGAAGGAAGTGAATATAGCAGTTCAAGACCTGAAAATGGAATTAGAATCAATAAAGAAAACACAAACTGAGAAAACCCTGGAGATGGAAAAATTAGAGAAGAGATCATGAACCACAGAGGTAGGCATCACCAACAGAATACAAGAGATGGGGGAGAGAATCTCAGCTGTTGAAAATACAATGGAAGAAATCGATACATCTCTCAAAGAAAACATTAAGACAGAAAAGTTCCTGACACAAAACATCAAAGAAATCAAGGACACCATGAAAAGACAAAACATAAGAATAATAGGAATAGACAAAAAAGAAAATTCCAGGCTGCAAAGTCCAGAAAATACTTTTAAGAAAATCACTGAAGAAAATTTTTCCCAATCTAAAGAAAGAGATGCTGTTAAACATACAAAAGGCTTACAGAACACCAAATGGACTAGACCAGAAGAGAAATTCTTCCTGCCACATAATAATCAAAACACTAAATCTATAGAACAAAGAAAAAAATTAAAAGCAGCAAGGGAAAACAGCCAAGTAACATATAAAGGTAGACCCATTAGAATCACACCGGACTTCTCAATAGAGACTATGAAAGCTAGAAGGGCCTGAGTAGATGTCATACAGACTCTTAAGAGACCACAGATGCCAACCTAGACTATTAAACCCAGCAAAGCTTTCAATCAACATAGATGGAGAAAAGAAGATATTCCAAGACAGAACTATACTTAAACAATATCTATGCATAAACCCAGTCCTACAAAAGATACTAAAGGAAAACTCTAACCCAACAAGGTAAACTACACCCAAGAAAACACAGGATATAGATAACTTCACAACAACAAACACAAAAGAAAACAAGCACACAAACATACCATCACCACCAACTCCACAATAAAAGGAACTAACAATCATCGGTCACATCTATCAACAGCAATGGACACAACTCTTCAATAAAAAGACACAGGCTAACAGAATACTTGCAGTAACAGGATCCAACATTCTGCTGCATTCAAGAGACTCAGCAACAAACCTTAGCAACAAAGATAGACACTACCTCAGAATAAAGGGCTTTAAAAAGGCTTTCCAAGCAATCCAAGGAGCAAGCTGGAGAAGCCATCCCAATATCTAATAAAATAGTGTTTCAACCAAAATTAATCAAAATATATAGAGAAGGACACTACATTCTCATCAAAGGAAGAATCTATCAAGAGAACACCACAATCCTGAACATCTATGTCCCAAATACAAGGGCATTCATAAAAGAAACATTATTAAAGCTTAAATCATACACTGATCCCAATCCATTAATAGTGGGCGACTTCAACACCCCACTCTCACCAATGGACATATCATTGAGACAAAAGCTAAGAGAAATAATGAAACTAAGAGGGGTCACTAATCAAATGTACCTAATATATGTCTACAGAACTTTTTACCTAAACACAAAAGAATATACTTTTTTTCTTAGCACTACATGGAACCTTCTCCAAAATTGACGATAGAGCAGGTCACAAAGCAAACCTCAACCAATACATGAAAACTGACCCATTGTTCTTTATCAGATAGTCACCGATTAAAGCTAGACCTCAACAACAGTAGAAACAACAAAAAGCCTACATACTCATGGAAGCTGAACAACCTCCTGATCAATGATCACTGGGTGAGGGAAGAAAGAAAGAAACGAATTAAAGACTTTCTAGAATTCAATGAAAATGAAGGCACAACTTACCCAAACTTATGAGACACCATGAAAGCTGTGCTAGGAGGAAAATTCATAGCATAAGTGTCTTCATAAAGAAATTGAAGAGATCCCATATTAGCAACTTAACAGATCACCTGAACGCTTTAGAAAAAAAAAAAAAAAAGAAGAGGAAAATACACACAAGAAGAATAGATGGCAGGAAATAATCAAACTCAGGGCTGAAATCAATAAATTAGAAACAAAGAAAGC